TAGAATGGTGAGACTCTTCGCCGTGCTTCCCTAAATGAAATGTTTTGCTTCACTTTCAATGTAATTATCTCTATTTCTTTTTTCAAGTATGTGCAGGAGCGTTAATATGCGGCGTGATTTCCTTCACAGTTACACAGTTTGGCGGTTGTTTGCAGTTCTCAGACTCGTGGCCTGGACTCCACATTGTGCACAGGTCTGGCGACCACGACAGCTTTTAGAGCCATGGCCATACCTCTGACATTGGAAGCAACAACAAGGGTTTGGTATGTAAGGCCTGATAGATGTCTTCATGTTCCATGTTTGAATAGATTCTGGTATTACTGGATGCAAACGTGGGTATTAATTGTTTTGTCGGTGTTTCCTTATTATCTATTCTGATGATAATCCTCTGTACATTAGTGACATTTTGGCTTTTTCACCCTCCAAAAGTTCAGTTTCGGTCAGGTCAAGTAAGTCTGCGTGAAATCCGACTCCGCGAGTTATATTCATAGATCTTTGTGGTGTTACTGTGATCGATACGTCACCAAGCGTTGAGAGGCTGTCTAGCTTTACGAATTGTTCTTTGTCCCGAATTTCGAGAAGGTCTCCGCTAGCCATTTTGGTTACCTTGTATTCAGCCCCGAGAGTTTGATAAGACACCTGGCAACTACAAAAGGAGATATGGTCCTGGCTTGCTTTCCAGTTTTTTCACAGTAAATGACGTGGAAGTGGAAAAAAAAATTGCCCGCAGCTTCCCTCGGGGGAACACTGAGGAGGATGCGGACCATATAATTGGTTAACGGGGTGTTAAAGTGCGACTTACTTGGGTCGATGGCTAAATTGGTTAACGTGGTTGTGAAATGGGGTGTTAAATTGCGACTTACTTGGGTCGATGGCTAAATTGGTTAACGTGGTTGTAGGAGGGGGTGTTAAATGAGTGAACACGTACACATGTATGCGAAAGGGCGGCGCTGGTCGAAGGGACGTCGATCATTGTGTTTGTGGATTCGTTGGAATTCATTTCACCGCGACCTTGGACGTCGACGCGCCGTACAAACCAACCGGCGAGCGGCAACTGAGCGAGCGAGCGCCGACCTTGAGTATATATACAGCACGACGGCGCATGCACTGTCAGCTGTTGAATGTTCTCGAAGCGCGACGCCACATGCGCGTCCACTGGAGAATCAGGAGAATTGTAGATGTCGAACGCGGTGTGTAGAGGAGGAAGGGTGCACAGATGGTGGAGGAGTGAAGCGCGCGCGGTGTGTAGAGGAGGAAGGGATGCACAGATGGTGGAAGAGTGGGCGACGGCGCGACAGCGCTTGCGCGCGCGTCAGCTGTCGAATGTTAGAGAAGCGGTGCGGACGGCGCACTACAAGGCGCGAGTATAAGATGCTCCGCATCTAAAATGTTTCTATTGGCTGGTGAAAAAAAAAGGTTATCGGTGCGTACCCGGTTTAGGCCGGTACGATCAGACAGTAGGGGGATGCTTCATGCATGCCAGTCTTATTTTTGTTCAGCAACGTTGGCGACCACCGGCCACGGAGCCCAACAAGGGGACGCTGCAAGTTTGCAGGTACTGCAAGCTTGCAGACGTCAGCCGTACAACACTGCCATAACCCAATGCGCTTAGGCCAAGGTAGGCTATTCGCACAGGGTTAACTCTTGCCGCCAGGAAAATTAGAAGTAAATAGAAGAGATAAGCAGACAGGACAGACTAAATGTGAGAGATAAAGACGAAGTTGTAGGTAAGAGAGATAGGAAAAGGCGACTGCCGATTTCTCCTGGGTGGGTCAGCCCAGGGGTGCCGTCTACGTGAAGCCGGGGCCAAACGGGTATGTTGCCTCTGCAGGGGGGCCTTAAAGGTCCCATCATGATTACCCAGCGTCAGCTCAACTCTCATTATTCCTTTTTCCCCGAACATGGCTTAGCCACGCATGATTAGGCATGAAAAGAAGTCGAACCCCAACCCCCCCCCCCCCCCGTTAGCTCAAGTCCGTGGTGTCACTACACACCAAACGCCTACTTGCACAGACCCCCTGCGGGGCATAGCCCCTCAAGCTGATAGGCAAGCATTCTCTCGAAGGAGCTCCAGGTGGCGCGTCGATATGTAGCACGCTTTATGTTGCAAATTGTTACGTGAATGTTCAGGTTGAAGCTTCCCAAAAGCATAAATGTCAGCGGATATTTCAAAGCTATGGGATATGTGTGAACATGGGTGTCGACATTATCGAGTTTTCCTGGGCAAAATGTGCACAAGACGCACCGAAGAAAAGCAGCCGTGGTTAGGCTCAACAGAAAAACGCTGTCAAGCTATTCGTGTCTACTTCTTAAGAAGTGAAGTAAGACCTCCCTTTCTAATATTTGTATGTTTTGCAAAACATGCTCGCCGTATTCACTAGATACACTAGAGTAAAAAAAGAATAGACGCACCATAATAATGGTATAACATGACAGCCAAGCGTGCTGCAGAAGCACATAAATGTTTATTGTGTATAAATATACCAAAGCTCACCTGATATTGCCCAATAGCACCAAATGACGGGCATGCACCAACGTCGACGTGTATAGTGCCACATCTCTATCCAAGCCACCTATTTTCACGATCATGTATACACCTTTGTGGTAGCTGCAGCTGTTAAAATACGCCTGGACAGAACACGTGGTGAATACCGCTCAATAACGACGTTACCATGAACGTAACAGACAACGGTGCTCGATATACACTCTCTTGAAGCGCTGTCGTTTGAGGAGCTGAACTTTGAAGTGTACGCTGCCTAGTAACACGGTAACTAGCTAAGTTGACGCGCATGGATTTACCATATATGATGAGTGAAGTGGCCGTGCGTGATCATGAAGATAGAATTGTGTTTGAAGTGCGCGCCACAGAGACAGTCGAAGAAGACGATGCAGGAAGAAATGAGGGCAGGTGGTGGGGCGAAGAAGAAGGAGTGAGGCAGACCTGGCTGGAAGGAAGAAGCAAGATTGAAGAACCAGGGCGTGGGAGCAGTGACCCGTCGGGTTGCGGACTCGAGGTCTCAGCAGGCTCCCACTTGGGGCCATACCAGCCGTCCTTGCAGTTCGAACCTGGCGTGGGCGAAACGTCGCCAGGACGTTTCCGCCAGGCGAGTCTGGCACCTACGGCAGCGAGCGCCAGCCAGCGTTCGAGATAGGCATGGCAAACGCCATGCGTGCTCCAGGTCAACGACCTCCGCAGTGAGACGCGTTCTTGGCCGCGGCTGTCATTGGACTTACCAGGCTACCCAAGCGTCGGCCGTCCCTTCCCAGCGTTGAGTTTGCCGCCGGGACTTGACCACCGCCTTCCTCTCCGGTGAACTCTTTCTGTTTTTATGCCCTTGTGAGTCTCACACTAGCATTCCAAGCACGTTATATTTTCGCCCTTACTTCATTTCTTATTAGACCTTTCATGTCTTTTGTAAATACATTTTTTGTGTGATTGCATAAACGGCCTCGTTACTGCCCGATTACGATTGAGTCATCGCAGGTTTTTGTACAGAAACACGAGCGTCTCGTCTAGAGCTTTGTCTCTCTATACAGCTCGTTACACCATACAGCCTTTCAAAAATGCGACTGGCAGAGTTCATAGCATTGGTTGCAAACAACGAAGGTGTTCATCCTCACGCTGGTCTTTCTCCAGCTACACTAAACACCTGCTTGCACGATATTCGCATCTTGATGTCATCGCCTTTCTGCAGGCCTTATCACAGTTCTTCTCTTAGTTGTGGCAGCTGAACGCGAAGCAGTAGGCGGTGGAGAACCATTGTTTCATTTAGAGTATGCCTTATAGGCGAGTGAGGAGGCATCACACGCACAAGCAAAAGCCAAATCGCAGAAACACATCATCAACAAATGAAATCACAGCCCGCACCGCATTTCGTGGACCATAGGGTGACCTACAATATTGTAATGAAAACCTCCACGGTGCTCACACTACTCAAGAGCTCACAGTTGATTAATTTAGTTGATATGTGAGGTTAACGTCCCAAAACCACCGTATAATTATTAGACACGCCGTACAGTGGAGGGCTTGGGAAATTCTTACCACCTGACATTCTTTAACGTGCACGCAAATTTGAGCACACGGGCGTACAGCATTTTCGCCTCCTCTAAATTGCAGCCACCGCAGCCGGGACTCGATTCTGCGAACTGTGGGTCAGAAGCCGAGTACTTTAGCCGCTAGATCACCGTGACGGGGCAAAATGCTCACAGTTGGTGCCATGGCCGGAGTGGAAAGGCACGTGGGCGTCTCTCCTTAGAGCCTCCGCTAACACTTCACACACAAATGGAGCCTTTCTCCCGCGGTCTTTGTGGCTCTCTACAGCGAAGTGAAGTTATTTCATTCGCACGAAGAGGGCGTAATCCGAGGAAGCGGTGTGGTGTATGCGGCTAATGCAGTGTGGTAGCAAGGTCAAGCATGCGAGAGTCGCAGAGCTATTTTGAATATCAATGAATGCTATGAGGAAGGTCAACTGTCGTGCTGAAGTCGCCAATTGGCGGAGCGTTACAGAAAATTTGACAGAGTTGTGCTTGTAGTATATCGGTGCGTAGAACTTTTCTACATATCTTTAGCGTCATTTTATAACGTTTCACTGAATAAAAATTGTGACACATACACATTTCCTTCGCATGCTGCGCATAACATCGATTTCCATGGTATGTTGGATCTGTCGAATCTTTTTATATTCACAAAACAGGAACCCATTTGAGAACCTGAGAGGCACCGCTTGAGAACAATGACCAGGGCAGATATTCTGCTGCCAGAGCATACTGCCTCCTATTGATGCAGTTACACCGCAGGTTAATTTCTCGTCTATCATTATTACAACAAGATGAAAAAATGTATGCGATACAAAAAAGACCCACGTAGACCTAACAAGAAAAATTGTCACTTCCTGAGGGCTAATACACAGCAAGGTAATTTCTGCTTGATTTCTTTTTCAAAAGTACTCGTGTATAAGCGAAAATTTAAGAAATGAAGATGGCGTAACTCGCAAACTTACTGTATCGCACCGCTTCCACGGCGTGTTCGGTAACACTTGCAAGGCGAGGCGCGTGGGGATATAATCTCTGAGGTGCTAAGGACGACCCAGAATAGATGGGTTGTTCTTCCAGCCAGAGGAGTTTGTACTATGCTTCAGCGACGCACACCTCTTCTGGAATGCAAGCTGCATCTGCAGAAAACACTTCATCCCATGAGACACTGCTAAATCGAGGACCCTGGCTGTCAGTTCGAAAGATCAAGCCTACGACAAAAAAACATCAAAACGTTCGTGGCACTTGGCGGGTTCAAAATATATAGGCACATATGCGTCGATGACGCTGTGGGGAAATCAAACAATGTGCATCAAGAAGAACGGTAGAGACGGCACAGATGCAAGGCTGAAGTACCGTGAATATTTTTCTTTTATGTTTAGGTTTGACGCTTAGTAACAGCGCTTGAAGCACGGCTTGCAAAAAAAATTGATTATGAAAAAATGTGGGGGTACTGAATTGAATGCTAAGTTTGTGTTGAGCCAAACTGGACGCAAGAAAACGTAGGCAAGGATGTTTACTCTTTATTCGTCATCTCTTTTTTTCCTCTCATCAAAATGTCACAGAAGTTTAACCTGGTTGAATGTTTTTGCAAAGAACTTTTTTGTGAAAACAATACGTCACATCTTTTAAATTAAGGTACTAAATTACGGGAGGCAAAGTTGTATAGTATTGATGTTTTTGGCTGGTTCATATGTAATGCGGCGGCGCTACTTAGCTTATTGTATGGCTGCGCTGTCATGATGAGAAAGGCCTGGCTTCAACAGACGATTGTTGAGAAAGGCTTGGCTTCAGCAGACGACAGAAAGTGTGCTTCCACTCCACGTGTGGTTGAAGCGTTGCGCGTGGTAAAGAAAGTGAAGGAAGAAAGAAGTGTGTTGTGAGCGGGCAGAGATGCCAGCTGCGGTGGGTAAGAGAGAGAAAAAGAGTGACATTAACGCGCAGCTGTGATTTGACTTACTTGGCACTGCTTTAACACCTGTGGTGAGAGGATTTGTACGGACGTACAGCACACCATTACACAAGGTAGTGAAAGAGCTGCTTCGAACCTAATAAAAGAAGGCCCGGCTATATGTGAATAATGTGAAGTTGCAAAATATTAAGTGGTCAGGTGGTATTATACAGTCCTAAAAAAGTGCAACAATACCCCTACTTAGAGATAGCGCAGCACCCTGACGTGCGATGACAAAATTTGGTTTGAACGCCGATGCATGACCATTACCAATAGTATATTTATTAAAACGCATGAATAAGCAATTGTTTAAAAATATAGGTTTGGGTTGCGACGTCACTGCGACCAGCAGCTGGTATTGTACTCTCTCACCAGAGCATTATTGACCACCCAGGTACAGTACTTGGCCACTACCCTCCATACCCACGCAGCAAGTAACCCTTGACGCTGAGTCTCGAGTGGCTGCAAAGCAACTGTCCAAGGTGGCATTCAGACTTGCGTTGCAGCGGAGTGCTCTAAGAATCTGTGGGTACAGGCAGGCCACCATTGAAATGTGAACCTAGCTATGTTTAATGCTAGAACGCTATCTAGTGAGGCTAGTCTAGCTGTGCTATTCGATGAATGAGATGGTGAGCAATGGGATGTAACAAGGCTCAGCGATGTTAGGACCCGTAAAGTTTGTACAGTGCTAGAGAACAGACACTTCCTATGCTGCTGTGGAATAAATGACAGAAAAGAACTAGGGCTGGGTTTTTTATACACAAGAATATTGGGGGCAACGTAGATAACTATAACATTAGGGAGAGAGTGGCAAGTATTATAAATACATTTAACAAAAGGTACAAGATGACGGTGGTACAACCCTACGCACCTACATCGAGCCATGATGATCATTTAGCTGAACGCTTCCTTTAAGACGTAGAGTCAACCATTATCAAAGTCACAGTATACGATTCCTATGGGCAACTTTAATGCAAAATTAGGCAAGAAACGGGCCAGAAACCACGCAGTGCGGAGTGTGGCATCGGCTTCATAAATGCCAGAGAGAAGGTAATATAGGGTTTGTAGCACGTTATAATTTTCGGATCTTGAATACCTTTTACAGAAAACACACTAACCCTAAAACGACATGGTGGAGCCCTAAAGGCGCAACTAAAACTTAAATAGGCTTCATTTTGGGTGCACACCAAGGCTTTTTACAGGATTTAGAAGTAGTTGACGAAATCTGATGCAGTCACCATAGAATGTTAAGAGCTCGTATTCACTTAAATGTAAAATCAAGCAAGGGCGAAAACTGATGCACCAGAAGGCATTTAATTACCTAGCGGTGAGAGCGAAAGTATAGGAATTCAGAGTCTTGCTCAAGAATGGGTTCGAGACACTAATGGAGGTAACTGACGTTAACTTTGACTCAAAAGAAAGATGATCTTACTAGTACCATAGTCCTTTCATACCTTTTTAGGTCATGAAACTCCCCGTCACTCAAAGGTAGAGCTTTACACGCCGCCCTCACTTTCCGCGCCGTGGTGCTGGTGTAGATAGAGAGCGTTGAAGCCTGCTCGGCTGGGTGCTACGCTGGCCGCCATGAGTGGAGTACTGGTTCGGAGTGGAGGTGGTCAAACGCATTGCCCTCATTTTTTTTTTGCTTATGGAGGTTTCATCGTATTGGCAGTGATGCGCAACGTCTGCTTCGTGCCGGTCCGTCGCTCTGGATAGAAGTGCACCGTCGAAAAACTTTGCCTGTTCTGTTTTTAAGCCAACGCAAAACAGCGCAACAGGTGGACACGTGCGTTTCCGAGACAGGTGACTGACAGATTTTCGTTTGACACAAAGAACGCTCGCGTATGTGAAAGATATGTCGAAGCCAGTGACATGACGAAGCGGGCGTGTGCACAGTGTGCGGAGTTATCGTTTCGCTGCCCCGCGAACCACCGAGACTGGTGGAAAACGCTGTATACCAAGGATTTTTAAGGTTTGCCTTCTTACCTCTCAAAACCAAAGCAGCGTTCACGTGCAATGAAGTGCTGACCTTTAAAAAGGCTGACGCCGTCTATCCTGCCCGGTCAAAGGAGAAAAGAAACCAGGGAAATAGGTTTTTTCAGTGAATGTTTTGTGTCATTCACTCTGTTTTTTAACTTTCAACCATTGTTTATGAAATGCAGATTTGAATAAACTGTGCGCTTCCGGACATGGCAGTTTGGAGTTTTCAACGAGTGCCAGTGATTTTCAGCAAAAAAAATACCAACATGTTTGCCTACATTTGCTTGCAAGGCGTAGCGTAGTTACCAAATTCACAATTCTACCCACTGCTAGGTAAGTGGGACACTGATTTGTTTCTGTTAGGCAAAAATGCCTCCCACATAAAAAGCTGAAGTTGGATTGACAGAGATATCTAAGTGCATGAAGAGAATCTTTACATTGGCTGCTTCGTCATAGCCAATAAAATATACTGACAATTATTTCGAAAATGAACGTTACGTGCAGCCAGAGCACGGCTGCTTGAAAACAATGTTACACCTACCATTTTTTTCTTTCCATTGCTCGCTGCGTCGTCCTCAATTTAAGCAGAACCCTCTTAGTAAGTCTCCAGGTTTCTGCTCCGTAGCTAAGTACCGGCAAGATACAGCTGTTATATACCTTCCTCTGAAACAAAACTCATCTAAAAAATGCCGAGCTCCAACTGAATCTCAAGAAAAGTCACTTTGCTGCTCGAAAACAAACCATTCTTGGTCACGTCATATCAAAGGACGACGTTCTTCCTGACCAGGCTAAACTACTCGCCGTCGCTGAATTCCCCAAACCAACTACATTAAAACAGTTACGCAGCTTCGTAGTATTATGCTCCTATTTTCGTCGTTTCTGCTAAACTTTGCCTGCATAATTACTCCTTTGACCCAACTTTTAAGCAGTGCCAACGATATCTCCTCATAGCCTTCCGAGTGTGATCCCGCATCTGCCACTCTTCGCCGTTTCCTCACGTCACCGCCTATATTGCGCCACTATGATGCCACGGCTGCAACCGAGATCTACACAGACGCCAGCGGTGTCAGTATCGGTGCAGTTCTTGCTCAACGCAAGCCTGGTACCCTGAACAAGTCGTCACCTACGCCAGCAGAACGCTCACCAAGGCTAAAGTAAACTACAGTGTTACCAAAAAAGAGTGCTTGGTCATACTTTGGGCGCTTTTCAAGTTTCACCCATACCTATATGGCTTCATGTTTCCGGTAGTTACAGGACATCATGCCTTATGTTGGTTGTCGTCGCTGATGGATTTATCAGGTCGCCTTTCTCGTTGGGCTCTGCGACTTCAAGAGTATGACATCCACGTCATGTACCGTACCGGCCGAAACCATGGCTTCGTGCATATCATCGCAGCAAAGTGGTTGTATCTTTGCATAGCCTGCGCCCGAGTGGTGGTCCAACTGTTGTGTGCACGTTTCCGGGTTTTTTTTTAATAATTGTCGCTTGTGAGATGAATTATTGAATGGTCTTTGGTGGGTTTCTCATCAAACCCACGAAGAGCTTCTGTGTAACCTCTCACAGGTGGAAACAAACTTTTTTCTCCTCAGACATGTCCAGGTCAGTGTGTCCGAAGATGCAAGTTATTTATTTAATGAAAATGGTAACATATTCTTTTGGATGCTGCACCCGGTTCTCCAGCGAAGCAGCGGCTATTTCTTTGCGAGCAACGCTCACGAACGTTTAAAGAATGCGCCAAGAAGACATCATACGTTTGAAGCGCAGACTCGATTTTAGAGCCAGGTCCTTGCGGTGTCTTCAAGGTAGAAGTACACGCGACGGAGCTTCTCTTTGGTGTCCTAGTGGTTGAGGGCGGCCACGCGGTCGTATGTCTCCAGTCAGGTCTCTGGGTCTTCAACGATGAATCACGGAAAGTGGGTGGCTCCCTTGGCAGATGCATGATGATCATGGGCTGTGACGCAGTGGTTGTCGTTGTCACCACAGTCGAGTTTACGGCCTTGGTCTTCCGCGCATGGTCTTGTAGAGGCCCGTACTCTGGTGGTAGACCTTGCTGCCGGCGGCTTGTTCGCTGCTCTTGGCAGGTGTCGGTGTCTTCTCTGTGAGGCGGGCTCGGGCGTCGGCTTGAAGAGGCGTCCAGTACATGAACGAAGCAGCACCTCCACCAGATGTCACGGGGTCGCGACGTGGACGAATAGATCAGACTGCGGGTCGAATAATAAACTG